TGATGCACCAAGTAATCCTATTCCCCCACCAGTGTCTTCTCCAGTGGCACCTCCTACCTCGGCACCGGTAGAAAATCCTGTCACTTCTCCTCCTGTTTCTCAACCACCTATTAATCCAGAAATTGTTGGGACCTGTGGTGGTGGAAACACTGGTAATGGAATCTGTCCAGTTCACTCCATGTGCTGCTCCAAATGGGGTTATTGTGGATATGAGTCTACTGGTCATTGTGACGATCCCGCACCGATTGATGCACCAAGCAATCCTATTCCTATGCCCGTCTCTCCTCCAGTATCAATGCCCGTGGATGCACCTACGCTGCCTTTACCACCTACTCATGACCATCATGATGATAATTCCCGATTGATCGCGTACCTCGGAAACTGGCAAAGCTGTCCCAGTGATGAGCAGGTCGCCCGGTACACCCACATTGTCATCGCCTTCGCGGTCTCTTACACCTGGAGTCCCGGGAAAAACGTCTGCAGCGAAACATGCGAAATCATGGTGCCCCCAGTTTGTGGCGACGCTGCCCGCCCCGATTTGATTCAGAAGTGGAAGAACATGGGCAAGAAGGTCATCCTTAGCTTTGGAGGCGCCGGTATGGGAGGAAGCTGGGTCGGCGACAACAACGACTGTTGGGATTATTGCTTTGGCCGAGAAACACAAGTAGTCGACCGTTTGACTGATATCGTAAATGAGATGGGTTTGGATGGGATTGATATTGATTATGAATATTTCTACGAGGACCACCAAAATGGATCTGGATTCACCAAGGGAGCAGAAGCGCAAAACTTCTTAAGTCAAGTTACAATTGGACTTCGCGATAGCATGCCTGCTGGATTTGAATTGACCCACGCTCCTATGGAGCCGGATATGGTACCTGGAAAAGGATACTTCGAAGTATTGAAAGAGGTGGCCAGCAGTTTGGACTTTTTAATGCCCCAATACTACAATGGATATGTTCAATCCCACTCCAACTTCGATGGGGCGCTTGATCATTACACCACACTCGCCAACCAAATGTTTAATGGAGATGCGAGCAAAATCGTGTATGGATTTTGCATCAACGATTGCGGCTCGTTCAATCTCGACGGGTACGAATCTGCTGAGGTCATGGAGTGGTTGTCCAAAGAATATCCTTGCAACGGTGGTGCTTTCTTCTGGGTAGCCAACGACGATAGAAACTCCGAATGGAGCATTCCGGTTAGGGACCAACTTCTGATAGATAGCGAGCAGTGTTAAAACGATTCCACGATTCCAACAACATCAAAAGTCGATGTCACACAACTCGAGTGTATTCACCGCCGAGAGGCAAGTGCGTATTGAAAATTGAGAAAGTTTTCACTTTCATAGAATTAGAAAGACCTCGTTCTTCAGGACGAAAACATAAAACATCGATAAAATAAATAAAATAGAGTTTGATTTCGCATTGCATTCGCTTATACATTGAAGACTACGTGTATAATACGAACAGAGCAATTTCTAAACATTGTTGCGCCTCTATCCTTCCACTTAGGGGTGTGCTTCAATTTGAAGCCCATTGCATACTGACTACTCTCATCGTTTACTACTCATCGACATATTCACAATACGATAGCTTGTCGGCATCCGAATTAGAAGGGATAGTCGGAGCAGAGGCTTCCTTTGAATTTTTCAGTTTTCGTTTCCCTGTCTCCAGAATAGTGTCGCTTTTCGCTTTTCGTTTTTCTACTCTTCCCGCTCTTCTGTCTCTCCTCGCTCTTGCACTCTTAGGGCTGCGGTGTGGACGTCGGTGCTAAACGCAGTAGATTGGCCCTCAAAACCGACAAAAATTCATTGACTAATCCGTAATCAAACCCGGGTGTGT